TTGCGACTGTCGACTCGCTCCGGATAATTGGAAGTTGAAAGAAAGAAAAGAAGATACCGACAAGTCGAGCAGAAATGTTATATTTTACGTATGCGCGAGTATCCCAAGTCTGGAATATATCCTGGCGACTTGTTGCGCGACGTAAGCGCGGTCAGGCGCTTCCATATCTTCTACTTATCGGTGCACCGAGTCGGCTTCTTTATTTGTCTTATCGAGCACTAAAATAGTCCGACCAGTCGAGCCCATCAGAGCGTGACTGGTACGTGTGTGTCTCGAGTGGAAATGAAAAAAAACGAGACCAACCGAAAGTCATCCTGTCTCCTCGATATCCGCCAGGTCCTCCCCCCGCCCCCCTCTCGACGCTTCTTTCCGGAATTCTTCGCCTCCGCTTGTCGCGAGACGAGTTGAGGAACGCGAGGTAACGTAAGACCGCCGCGCGCGTTTTAAGATCGGCGCGACGTTTCAAACCGATCGCGATTCAGCAAACGAAATGTCAGAGAATCATTGTCATCGCGACGACTCGTTTTCCTTGCGGTCTGACCGCAGGAAGGAGGCCGGAGCACGAGGGAGCGTCCGTTTAATTTCTTTCCGTGGGACGGTCTCGCGGCTCTCGCCTCGTAGAAACTCTCGGCTCGAGCGGACATTATTGAATTCGCCACGGCTGTTCGCGCGAGGCCGCGTCGAGTCTCGCGGGAATGTCATCCGAAAAAGTGTGTCGCCGTCTCGACAGAGACGGCCCCGCGACATTCTGTACCGTAATATTTTGCGAATCGGCAAACAGAAATTCTCATCTCGCGAGCGGGACGTCTGGTATTGCTGAAGCCTCTTGCGTCCACGATCCAAGAACTGCGTCCAAGTTCCAGTTCCGAGAAACGTGTGGCCAAACTTCTGCGGAAAAGCTTCAAGTTGATTCGCCACACATTTCTGGACACTAGAGCCTGGACACAGGCTCTTGAATCGTGGACACATGGCTTGAGGCAAGAACCGAGAGAGGCCAAAATCACGTACACCAATCCCTGATTTCTTAACCTTTGTTATTTTATCTATCTTTAGAATAGCCCCAGCAAGGCCTAATGCCCAAAAATGCTAACCCTAGTAGCACAGTGCATTGAACAAACGCATTGGTTAAACATTGGCCCAATATTTGACTGTGTTGGGCCAACGTTTAGCCAATGCCCTGTGCTGCTAGGATACTCTCTAAAGTTTTTGGAGTGAAAATAGAGCCGTGGAGTGAAATATTCGCTCTATTGGAGCAAATATTTACTCTATTAGAGAGAATATTTCACTCCCTCCAAAACTTGAGAGAGTAATACCTAGTAATGCCCAGTAATGCCGCAAATCTGTACACCACAGTGCCCTCAGCGGTTTTTCCCCTCGCTCGGTCTACTAACTTTCGATTGCTCGAGGAATACAAGGTAAAGGGACAATTTCCACGCAAGAACTGCGCGATTTTCCAGGGCGAGCAACAATTCCCTGAGAATTCCAGACTGGTGAGACGCCCGCCTGGAGAGAGAGGGAGGTTCAGGTTCAAACCCTGGCCGAGGTAATGTTCTTCGCAATAAATTTTCTGCGTTAAAAGCACGTTGCCCGTTGCGGTCGATTACAAGCTTAACTATTGCAATACCAGGCTCGTTTTTCCCGGTAGCAGACACCCTGCCCTCGGCTCGTATGTACACGTTACACAGAGCGCCCGCGTTTCCGCGCTCATCCTCGCAGCGCGCGAGCGCGCGAGGCGTGGTGCCGGGGGATTCAACCGGATTCGACACACTTCCCAGCGAGGTTCCAGCCGAGCGGACCGAGCCGCGCGCGCGGCACGGCACGGGCCGAGTTTCGAGTGATTAATGCGAGCCCGATCGGCGGCTGTGTGTGTCCACTTTGCCGTGCTCTCTCGCGCGATTGCGTGAAAGGCCAGAGCGTCAAGTATTCCAACCCGGAAGCGCGGCCGTCGAGAGTGGCGCGCGTTCACCAAACACGATCGCTCGACCGCGATCGAGTCGCGCGCGCGAGTTCCCTCTTCGCCACGGACGAACGAGGCGTAATTAAGCGACGCTCCCCCCAGGATGTTCTTCGCTCGTGGAATTTTTTCCTTGGCGGAAACGTCGAGGAGCGTCGCCAATGCGCGTGTTCAAAAGACGTCTGAAAGATCTTTTTTTAAGATCTGATCGAAAGACACCTTTTAGAGAGACGCTTTGTTGTCTGAATATTTATTGTCCTTTGACCTGGCGCTCCGATATTTTGCATTATCCGCCATCGGTGTCGCAACGACGTAATTAAGCCTAATCTGCAATGTGCTCTTTGCGTCTATAGAAACTTTCTATTTTGTAGCCAACAAATAGAGGAAAGTCCTCTATTATAAGATAGGATTCTAATATGAGATAGCAGGTTTTCAACTTGTCCAAATTCAATCACAAATCTTTTTTTCGCAACGATCACACGATCTAACAATGAATTTTCCACCGAACAGATATCACTTCAAGGGCAATAAATTCATGATGAGACCAACAGATGATATCTATTGATTTAACAGAAACCCCGCTATCCCATATTAGGATCCTACCTCATAACAGCGGACTCAACTCTACGTTTAAAAAATTTGTGCAAGTTGATAAATTGTACATTTTACATTGTACAATCGTACGTCGCCGACAAAGTTTCTGGGCGTTTCGATTTGCCAATATCAAATAGTTTCTCGACAAAGGGTACATCAGGCCTTAGGGTGTTCGGAAACGTGTTAACAGGCGAAAGAATACGGGACAGAAGCTGAAATTGCTTGGTAAATCGGTGTACGATTGATTTAATATTTACCTGACTGCCAACGAAACTGATCTCTATTGTAACAGATAGATCGTTATCCAAGTTACGTAAATACTTAATTATCTGTATATCGGTTTATCAAGCAACACCAGCTCCTCCTCCGTATTTTTCTTCTTGCACTTCCGTATTAAGCCCGATCTACAACGTGCGCTCTGCGATAGAAGAAACGTTCTATTTTGTGCGAGCGAATCAACGTGCTTAAGAAAGTTGTACAAACAATGTACGATTGTACGGCGCGTAATGTACCGTTTGTCAGCCTGCGCGGAATTTTTTAACGCATTTGTCGGCTACAAAGTGAAATGTTTCTGGACGCAAAGAACGCAGGTAGATCGAGCTTCAGTTCTTCTTCCGCGATGTGTGTAAAAGTCGAAAATAAGACGTCCCGTCATAAATCGGGACACAGGATGACCTAAGACAGCTTTATAAAGTATATTATAATTTTTCAATCAGCTTCCTGTCCAAACCTCGCCAAGAGCCTCTTCTCAACGGCATCCCGATCTTCGTGTCTCTGAAAAGACTGAGGACCGGTTTCTCCAACCCCTTGGTGAGCTAACTAATCGTTAAATTACACGTCTATCTGTTTTTAATTTAAAGGAAACAGACGTACACGATTTAACTATTAGTTAACTTACCAAGGGCCCGGTTCTGCATTTTCTGGTTAACTGTTAGCCAGAAGTTAGTCTACTTTCCATCCTTTTCTATGTTGTTATCTGAGAAGAGACAGAGAGTCGACTAACCTCTGGTTAACAATTGACCAGAAAATGAAAAACCGGGCCCAAAAGGCTGAGACAATCTACTCTGAGTTGGGGTCAGAGAACCGCAACCGAGGGACACCCCCACGGAAAAATATATATTTCAAAAAGTAGGCGAAAATACATGGCAATATATTTCATGCACTTGGTATGCCCGAAATTTGTACACCGCAATGCCCTCAGCGGTTTACCCCTCGACTAAAAAAAACCTAGTCCGAGATGATTCTGAGGTACACCTTGAGCGCAAATATTTCTACACTGAAAAAAATTTCTGGTTGAATATGGACGAATCAGATAATTCCTTTAGGATTTACCAGAATTCCTTTAGGATTTACCAGAATTCCTGTAATCCTACAGAAATTCTGGTAAATCCTAAAGGAATTCTGATAAATCCTAATGGAATTATCTGACTCGTCCATATTCAACCAGAAATTTTTTTTAGTGTACGTATATCACCCGCGACTCCATTTGTAGATTGTCATCTCTAAACATCGGCGCCATCGTCGTCCGCCAAATTTACATGGCTAATCGCGCGCGACTCCCACGAGGAAAATTTAAAGTCCGCCTCCCCCTCGCCCCGCCTTTTGTCGCCGGTCTTATCGGCAACATCGGGCGACCAATTAGCGGCCGAGTAAACCTACTCGATGTAAACCGGATGACAGCTAATCGCGAGGATAATTATAATCGCGTTCAACGTCAGCCCGATTACGGCGGTGTAACATCACGCCACGAAATGGGCGATAACGCGACACACGCGCGCGCGCGCGCGCGCGCGCGCGCACGCACACAGTTTGTGCCGCGTGTCGAAATTCGGCACGCCGTATCCGGGGTAGAGAGCGACCGTAGATCCTCTTTTGTGTACAACGAGGGAAGGTGCCGAGCGGTGACGAGCTTTGAAAAGCGGCCGAAGAATTGCAGCGCCTGTATTATCCTCTTTTGCATCGTCGCGAGTTCGCCTCGCGTTAATTGAATGATTTCGTTACACCAATCCGCGCGCGCGCGCGTGTGTGTGTGTGATACTTTACCACCATATATAGTAAAAAGAAAAAGGAGCACGTTCGAACGGAAATCCGGAGCTCCCGAACCCCGGGGTTCGCAGTTTTCGAAAATATGGCGCGACTCTTCGAACGCAACAGCGGGGATACGAGTTCGTTTCAGCGAACCGCGAAATATAAGAAACGATATCGAGCGCGATATATCGAGACTCGAAGGTGCTTGGGAGACGGTTCTGAAAACGACCGAGAATTTCCCCGAGGAAAAAGCTGTCCTCGAGAGAAAGCGCGACGCTCAAAAGTCCGAACGTTGAAACGCGTTCCGTGTGGTTCAACGATCTAAACGATCTCTCGATCGACACGTCGCCCTCGCGGGCGAGAGAGAAAGAGAGACAGTCCCGGCGACGATTCGCGATCGATAGATCGGGTCCGGCAGGTTTACCTTTCCAGCGACCGTCATCTCGCCCGTGGATCGCGAAGCGTAGATCCTTCTCACGTAACGAGAATCGAGCGGGGGCTGCTTGCACTTTTCAATGGCCGGTCGAGCGACGGCGAGGCATTTCCCGGCGGATCACCGCGCACCAACGCACTGGACCCGTTGTCGATCACGTATCACTGGGACCCCTGGAAATGTCCCGCGTACACTGCGTGCGGGCTGCGGACGCGAGCGCGGGCGCGGCGAGTCGCGTGTGGCACGTCCGAACGCGGCGGCAGCCGACGGGTGAATGGAGCGCGGTCGCGCCGCGCGCCGCGACTCTCCCGCCCCCCCACGGCGCCGCCTCCGCCGCCACTGCCACTGCCGCGCATCGGGGTGGCGGCGCCCCCCCCCCTTTCCCGCGCGCGACTCGCAATGAGACTTCGCTCGGGCGCGCTCGTGATTGTCGCAGCGGCCACGTGATTTCCACCTGTCAGGGCCGTGCGCGGAAGGGGGGCGGCAAATTTTGGGAATTCGTTTTCGAAACGCCCGACGCTGCGGGGTGACACCTCGCGCGGTGCGAACAGGTCAGGTTAAAACAGGTAGTTAGAAAGAGACTCGAGTACCCACGAGTGCGCCCGCTTTTTCCCTTATCGTTAGATGGGATTTTGATGAAAGCATCTACTGTATGTGCATTGATTTATGGAGTCAAAACATAGGCCGGTATTCAGAGTCGGATCTTATGTTGAAGATCGTCGTGAATTTGTCTAAAGACGCTGTGTGGAACATTTCATATTGGCTACGGATTGTCTAAAGATGATCTTAGGGTACAGTCTTGAATATACATATAAGATCCGACTATGAATCATAGTGTGGTGATTCGCGCGCGACGGAATTACTGTCAGCGATCTTCTGAGAACGCAAATGCGACTGTCGGCAAATTGAGATCCTCGTCCCTTTAAAATATGCCGTCCCTTTCCCAATAACGTGATATTATTCTCTCTCTCTCTCTCCTTGTTACTCCTCGTTTTACTTCAGTCACTGCACAAAATAAAAGGAGAATTAACGCTTTTTCAAGCCTCGCTCGAACTTGTCCGCGCGAAATCCGCCCGACTTTCATCCGCGCGTACCGCGACGCGAGTGCGCGGGAGTAATCGAAAATTAAATTACTCGCTGAACTGGACTCTTACGCCGCCGCCCGTCACTCCCGAGGCACATTTCCCAATCCCGCATGAATTGCGATAGTCGATTAGAATTCAAGACTCCTCGCGCGCTTTCTATATTTACTCCGCCAATCTTCCCTCCCTCCCCCCCGCCGCCGCTCCTCTTTCATCATCGCCACGGAGTACCGTTGCCATTTTCGCAAATTACGAACAGCTGCGATTTGCGAATACCCAGGTATCCACGGTAGTGCACTCTCGTTCTAAAAAAAAAAAAAAAAAAACGAGACTCGCGAGGACGAGGTGACTTTCGCGGCGACGAGTGTGTACGCGCGCGACGTGCCAATCGTCGCCGCGCGCGCGCTTCGAACGATCCCGCGAGGCGAAGAGGCGGCTCTCGGGTCTTTGACCGTTCACCGTGAAGCGCGCGCGCCGGGCAGGTGGGAACCCCGGCAACCCGGATAACGTGCACGCACGTGCACGCACGCACGCAGGCACGTACGTACGCGCGCGCGCCCGCGCGGCGTCAGCGTAGGTTCGTCACTCGACACGTACAGTGCGGTGCATTAATTCGCCTCGTATTGTCAAGAGGCACCTGCGTTCAAGGGGACGACTGTACTCCGACGGGATAATTGAAACTTTCAAAGACATAATACGACACGAGTTGGACTTCAAACCGCGATGTTTTTTTATATGAGAATGTTCTACTGCGCGGTGCACGCGCCGCTCTGGTGTTAGTTTGTGCATAAAAGTCAATAGTAAGATTTACAAATTATGCAAAAACTGCACGCGACTCCGTCGGTAAATCAAACCGCTCCAGCGTCCCGCCCCTAATTACTACCCGAGCCGAATTAGTGCACCGTACTGGATCATGAATCTTTTTCTCTAACGTAAACTCGTGCAAAGTGAGAAACTTTCATTGACGAATTCAACATTTGTCAGTGAAAAGTTTCACTTTTCGCGAGTCCACGCTCGAGGGAAAGATTCGCGATCGAGTCTCCGAAGTTGCACGCGGATCGAGGCATTTTTGAAAAGCGTGCGACTTACTAACACTTCATGCGTCATGACTGCGGGGACAGCGAATCGGCATTGCCGGTTTCGATGTCGTGATGCACGAAGAGTTAGAAAGTCGCACGCTTTTCAAACGTACCTCGATCCGGGTGCAACTTCAGACGGCTAGGCATTAATGACGCCGTGTGTACGTCCGTTCCCTTCCCGCGGCCGACACGGCGGCGAGGGCGAAGAGGCGGGAGGGGGGGGGGCCGCAACGTACCGTAGACGCATACCCGGATCCGAGTATCGCCCCGGGATTGGTCCCCGCGCGGCGGTCGAACGTCAGTGCCGTAGCGCCGCGGGTCTCGCGGTGGCGACAATCGATTTCGATCAATCGGCCGCTCGAGTTCAAATTTTCACGTGCGCGCGCGAAATTGAAAGTAGCCACGAGTTTTGAAATCGAGGCGTGAACCCCAAAGTAACAGTTACGTAACACGTGCGTCATATTACATTTACATTGATGTTTATACTGTTACTTTGGCGTTCGCTGGGTTCGGATTGCTCGGGCATGAGGTCGAACCGTTCGAGTGATTTGGTCCGATGGACCCGACTTCGGAGCGGATAGAAGCGGTTTATTTTCTACTTGAGCGCTGCTTTCCCTCAGGTTTTCCTTGACACCCGAAACGCCAGTGCGATTGAACGTTCGGCTCGACTTGGCTCCGCCAGAATGTCCGGACTTGAAGCTCGAGCCGTCCACTTCGCTCTATTTAATTCTGTGTCTAAGTAAATCGCAGAATGATCGATGTTCAGGCCTTTATCTCAACTGAACGCTCTAATTATTTACTTTAGTATTTTCTTCTTAAGAAATATGTTCAAACTTTAGAATATTATCGGAACATCGCGAGAAAAGTCACTTGTAACAATGCAATTTTATTTCGGCCATTCTGTATAAGCTACGGTAAATGTCAGCCGAGCTCTTCAAGTACGCTAGGAATCACTGATGCCTTCCCATGTGAATTTAGGCACAGTGGAACACATACACATTTGCCATGTGTGTATACGCAAAATGTGTAAATGTGTCGATGTATGCACAAATTTACGTGGGAAGGCGTCGGTGATTCCTAAGGTGCGCTCGCGGAGCACGCTATTAGCACAAAAAGCGTCTTCTATCTTTCTTCAACGTATAACAAGCAACGAAGACAGTCCGACACTTTCAGCGCTAACAGCGGATCCGCGAACGCACCTCCGGTGTACAACAGAATTTACAAAGCCCGACTTTAAGACAATCTTCAATTCTATTCAAACATATTTCGCGCTGTTCGAACAATGGTACAAGCGCCGAAGCACGCTGCGTCCGAACATCTTAGCGCTAACGATTTATCAGGCGATGCAACGAACGAGCTTAATTAAATGCATAATTTTAATAAACGCAGAGCCGACAGTGGGCGACGCGCGGAGTGCAAGAGGTCAGCCAGCGGCGAGTGACGGAAGGAAAAAGGGAGGGGAAGGGGAAGACAGAAAAATACATTTTAATCGATGACCGATAATTGGGTCGCGCGCGGCACCAATCAAACGGATCCGCTTTTCTCTCACCCGGATTCTTCCTTCGAGATAAGCGCGATAATCGATGGCCCATATCGACCTGCCGTGGGCCGCTCGACGGTGGCCGCGCGCCGCTCTTCCTGGTGGACTCGTTTCACGTACCGGCTTTACACACAATGTTCTTCCTTTCCTCCTCCTCCTCCTCCTCCTCCCTCTCTCGTTCGCGCGCAATGAAACATAAGCGCGGTATTCGCGGGCGGCTCATGAATGAAATTCTTTCATCCGCGTCTCCGCGCCGGCCAGCGTCCACAATGGCTTATTGTCCGCGCGGGCCGTCGCGCGTCTCGGCGCGAGGGAACCGCTCCTTGCGCGCCTCCTCTCTTAACTGTACATCGGACTTCTCAAATGGTTAACTTTCTTAAGTGGTTAAATAGTCTGACACGGATAGCTTGACACGAGAGCGCAACGAGCGCGGCTGCATTCTTGTCGCGCGCGGGCGCGCGGCGCGGCGTGCCGCGACCCAATTATCGTCGCGACGCGAGGCGAGGAGGCCAACGAGAGCGTGAACACGAGCGTGAACCAGTTACCGAGGCTGGGAAAAACCTCTCGAGGCGCTCGATGGATTTAGGGATCTCTTTCGCCGCGAGATGTTTCCGCGCGGAAATTCCGCGGACGGCTGGCGACGAAAGGAAAGGGACGCCGGTTTCACTCGCGCGCCCTCGAAAGACAATTTCTCGCCGCCTCGCGACTGGCAATCAAAAATTGGATCGCTGTACTTACGTATTTACTCGGCAATTAAAGTTATTGCGGCGGCGATCTTCCCACGAGGGAAATCGAATCTTATCGATCGATACAAGCTGCGAATGATCGAGAATACGAGATCGATTGTACAACCCGCGTGTTTTTCGTTCTCTTTAAACGCGCGATCGTAGCGGGCTATATTCAAGTATAGCCCGCGTCGGGCTACGAATTGAGATTGAGATTAGATTGAAATTTGACGAATGAGAGTAAAAGTCACTAAACTTGTGATTAGTAAACTTTACTCCGATTGGTCAAATTTCAATCTAATCCCAATCCGTGGTCTGATACGGACTTTATATAATTTATTTTAACGCAAATCAAGTCCTAATTAACCCTCAATCCTCACTTTCTAAATACTCCATGTCAGCCGACTTTACAGAAAGTCGAGAGCAGACTGAGAAAATTTATACCAGTTCCAATATTCGAGGAACATAATACAAACTTCTCGACAAAAATCTTTTATTGGAAAAATTATGCCATCTCTTTACAAGTTTTCTTAAAATTATCAAGTGCTATTGTCCATTTAATTGCATAATCGCATATGTATGTGTGATTTCGTTAATGCACGATCATCGTTCGCGTGTACGTGAGATAATAGAACCAATATATGTCAGTTTTACAGCACATCTTATGTGTGCGTATACGTGTACATACACGTGCGTACTTGGGCAATTAAATCATAAAGATAAAAAAAATCATAAGTTCGAACTTATCGTATTATACAAGTAATGGTTACAATTAAGAACCCTAACGGAACGTGATACTCTTTACGTTCGTAGAATGCACTTGTAAGAATACACCTAATAGTCGGAGACTATCTGTATATATTATGCGTTTCCGATATCTTTCGACCATCTTCAAAGTATATATGCACTATTAAGAAAATATATTCCAAGAAATGTTTGAAATAGTGCTTACAGCTTATTCCCACAGCCTGAGTAATTTATCCCGTAAATGTTTCTCACGAAACTCAGTATGTAACAACCGATTATATATGATAAAACATAATTGTTTTTAATAAAAAGACGCATGTACCTCGCACGCGACTTATGACGGTGGGACCCAACCACCGAATGCAGTCTCAAGTTCCTTAGCCACCGCGAAGCACAGATGGTCATTGTATGGAGCTGCTACGACCTTGAATTTGCGAGTTTTGCAAATTTGCAACATTTTACAATAAAGATACAAGGCTTAAAGATAGCTGGCAACAAAAACAGATACTTTTTTAAGGCTTCCGTACACTCAATAAAATAAAATCTGAAGCAACAATATTCTCTGCTCTTCAAATTTACGCTTTTGACTGATATAATCTCATAACTAAACGATTCACAAACGATAGAAATAAAATTCGGAAATATGAATATTCAATGCAAAATACTGAGTTTAAATGTGAATTTTAAAGCCTTTGTACTAATATGTAAAAATCTCACCTGGATACCGACTGGTAAACCTTGTTCATCCAAACCCAACGGCACCTGGCAAACTGGGAACCGCAAAACATTGAACAGACCCCAGTAGGCAAAGTTGTATGGTCTCAGATATGCGGAATAATGATAGCTGGCGGGACAAGGTGCCGAAGGATAAAACAATACCCCGTCGTCGCCCAGTTTTTCCTGCGGGATGATTTCCACGATAAACATAGAAATTTACACAAGAATGGATTAAGAGATGTATTCTTCAATTCTCGAATTCTTTTCTCGTACACCTTGTGTACGAGATATATCTAATTTCTCCTTCGTGATAATTACCGCCAAGAATTGTTTCGCTGTTGCAAGGGTACTCTTTCCCCATTCGGCGTTCTCCCGCGGCAAGAAATCCTCATCCATTAATTTCATGATAGCTGCAAGCGTTAACTGCGAGTTCCCAGTGAGTAGATTGTAAATTTCCCCACTCGCACTAGCGACGTACTGCAAAGTGAACCAAGTGACAAGGCATGTTGTGAAGATACATATTTTATTTTGCAAAATATAGAATGTAAACAATATCCTAACTTGCATAAATTTTGTTGTCCAAAAGTGTATGTGAAGCTTTAAAATAAAGTTCAATTCTCACCTTTTTACCCGTTATGTTCAGCTTGAAATTAAAATTCTCGCAACACATACAATATCTCCACAATTTTAAGCTGTACTCGGAACCTGGTATTTTGATCTGTAATGTTACAAATACAATAATTAAATACGTGTGTAAACTTTGAAATTTGCGAGAAATGATAGTTTACTTAAAACAAAACAAATTTTATGATAAAGAGAAGAGAGAAAAGATAAGAAATACATATATACCTACTTTTGTTGCAGAACCCGTTAATTCTTTAAAATGTTGCACCGCCTTTATTAAGGTAGCTCGCATGTTTCCGTTCACTTTGCTCATTCTCAGATCACCAGGATTCTCTTGATAAAACACTTTCAGATCCTTCAGATTTACCGGCTCATCCAGCTTTAATTTAGTCACGTTAGGACCAACGAGAACTTTTAAAAGGGGTATCAGATCCTCAGTCTTTCTGCAGAGCGGTCCAACTGCTGCCATAGTGTCCGGATAATCATTCTCGCGTAATCCAATTCCAACCATTGGAGTCAATCCTGTGACATCGGTAGTCATTATTAATTACCAGTAATTTCACATAATAAAGATACAAATATAAAATAAAATTCAAAACCTTTTTCACTTTCATTATAAAAAAATCACACAATAGAAAGAAGTCTCCTATTACAGGCTCCTAATATAAAATAGCGGAGTTTCTGTTAAATTAATAGGCGTCATCTGTTGGTTCCGTCACGAATTTATTGCCCTTGGAGTGAAATCTGTTTAGTAGAAAATTCACTGTTGGATCGTGTAATCGTCGCGAAAAACGATTTGCGATTGAATTTGGATGTTGAAAACCTACTATCTCATATTAGAATCCCATCTGATAAGAGATGACCTTCCTCTATTAATCTATTGTTTTTTAAAATGAATACAGCGTGATGTATCAATTTAGAATTACAGAAACAAGATCAATTTTTAAGACTGACCTTCGCTGGGCTTGTGGCCGAATAATCCATTATAGAATGCGGGCATCCTCGTGGAGCCTCCTATATCACTAGTGATGGAAAGCGGAGATCCACTGGCCGATACTATGGCTCCCTCCCCCCCGCTACTGCCGCCCACTGTCCTAGTGGTGTTGTAAGGATTATTTGTCTGTCCGTATAGATTATTCCTCGATTCAGACCACAAATTGAGCTCGGGAACATTGGTCGTAGCAATTATAATCCCACCAGCCTCTTTGAGAAAACGAACCGCCGTAGCGTCCTCCTCAGCGCGATGAGTACGACGACAAGGCAAACCCATGGAATGAACGAAACCTAATGGGAAAATGAGAAGTTAATTCAAATAAATTCAATTGTTATTCAGTAAACAGTAAATATGTTTCTTTTTTTCTGTCGCACAACAGAATATCCGTTGAAGATAAAAACAAATAAAATGGTGTACTTTTTGTCATGTCGCAGGTCATTGAGTAAAACTCATAACTTTAGGCAAAAGCTTAATAAAACAAAATTACATACATTGGCCCTTTAGCACTTGTTATAAACTCCTAAAATTGAAATTCGATCGTTGCAGTTTCATGTACCTTTTTCCAAAGAAACACTGAAAATTAAAAATCTCGAATACTTTTATGTTGTCTTGTATACCTTTAACTCGATTGCTCTCCTTCGTGGTAAAGGGTACTCCCAAAAATGGCTGCGTTATCCTTATTTTTTCCAGGTCCACACATTTTTCTATCGTGGCATCCACTGCTTTCGCCTCTTCAATCGCATCTGAGTATCTCGACTCCACGATTGCATTTAACAAGTCATTCACCTCCTTGCACCGTTCGATGTAGGCTGTTACAATTTCTTCCGATGAAACTTTCTTCGTTCTAGAACAACCAGGTGGATAGACAAACTATTTAAAGACAATGAGTCTACGGGTAGTCAATAACACTTTGTACACGATTTGATTTAATAACTAATTTACCTAATACAAAGTAATAAAGGAGTAAGAGCCAAGACAGGATGCGAGTGTCTACATAATTTTAACTTTAAGCCTATTGGGAAAAATAATAACCTCAGCCAGGGTTTGAACCTGGATTTACCTAATTTTCTCCGCCAAAGAAACGGCGCTTTCTAACAGCAGCTTGTTCTTCACCGGCGGCACCTTCTTCGCCTTCTTATCGTAGTACATGCCAAAGGCAAAGTCCACGATAGTGTCGAAGAGGAAATGCAGCTGCACGATTATACATCGCAGGAGTTTCCAGAATAATTCTTTGGCCAACTGCAACATGCTCTGGCTTTCCAGAGAATCCTGTATAACAAGTGCAGTACGTTACACTTACAGAAATACTCACACAATGGAAGCAATGTTAGAGCTTTTTATAAGCTTTTATGAAGTTAGTAGTAAAAATAATTGTCTGAATATCACATAAGTTTTCTCAGAGGTAGATTAGGCCAATTGACGTTTAAAACTTAAGTATGGAAATGGTATTCTAAAAGATTATACTAAGTAAAAAAAAAGTAACTCAATAAACAAACGTATGTAATTTAACAATTATAGGTAACGCTAGATCCATAATGAGTCGTTAGTCGTTAGAGATTGGAACAGAAGAGCGAGAACAATGATGTTGTATTTATTGCAATTATGGTAATAACCGAGAGAAACAACCAGGATCACCTTATATTTTACAGAAGTGCACATGGTTTCGTGGAGTCGGTGAGAGGTGAGAAGTAGCCAGTCGACGTATCGGTGGAGTCTGTTTAAAATTACGCAGGATTAATCGTAAATACACGTTAAACAATACAATTCAGATATTTTATAAGTACCTATTGTATATATGCGCTCCCTTCGGAACTCACAGTACTTGTTTCTCTCCTAGTTCAGTCTCTCGGATCTCCTTTAACTAGGATCAATGTCCTGAACAACAATTTGCGCACGTCATCGTGTTGATAAATTATACCGGAGCTCGTTTGACACAACAATCGCTAATGATGGCTGCGTTCAGCAGAAAAAGGTGCTTTGCGACTGTGTAAAATTCGTGCATCTGATTGGCGTATGCTCTTAAGTTCACTCAAGCTTAAGAGAATATGCCAATCAGATTCAAGAATTTTGCGACAGTTGCAAGGACAGCTTTTTCTGCAGCCATTGACTACGTTTCCACTTAGGGTTAAAGTCGGGCTAGAGTTGGATCAGAATTGGATCGAGGGGTGAGCGCTCTTGCGGTGGAAATGCCAAGCTCGAAACGGCCGGGCCACCGGTCTTCATATTCATGAAACCAACGAAGAAAGTGTACTTATACCTTCGTATATATTTTGGAAGACGTATGCAACTTAAATTTCCGTTTGTGAATTCGCGGCGATTGAGACGGAGTCGTCTTAAGTCCAAGACGCGCGGCATTTGTTTTCTCGAAATCTCCGACCTCTCCCGTTCACGAGATCATTCGGTATCGAGAGTGCCGGAAATCGCAACGCGAGACCTTTCGAGGATTCAAATGACCTTTTTTCTCGTTGTTTTAGTATAGACCTGTTACTGTAGGCACCGGCCTGAGTGAACCCGAGGAGGCTACGGAGTCTCTCGGAAGCGGACACTCGAACATCCTGATAGCCACCTGGGATGTTTTTTGCCAATGTATCGACGTTTCAAGTAACGTCTTGCCGAGAATCGTTAACTGTGACGAGCTCTGACGTTAGTACTTAAATAATTTCTTACAGTGTTCCTTTATGCATTAAATTATTTACAGTGCACGTACAATAAAGTTTGTAGCGAAATATTTGAATTGTAATATAATTCTCCTATATTTACGGCGGCGGCGGAGGCGGAGTTGTATAGTTACTGTCGACCTTGCACTCCTGCTCCCAGTCGTTTGGTATCATCGGCTCCAGGATCTCCACAAACTTGTCCAGTGGACACACGACAGTACATCCAGGTATTGTCATCATGTACGGCTCGTGAGTTGTTGTATTCCTCAGAAACACCTGTCGCAGGAATATTTTCGTCATTCAACAATGCTGAGAATTAACTGTTAATGTCAAACCACTGATTGTGAGACATTGTTAGAAAAGTCACAGGTATCGCTGAAACTTTCAGTACAGAGCTCACGCACTTTTGCTACCATTGTATAAGTGTTTAAAAAGCTATCAGGATTTAATATTTTATTGTCCTCCCAAGTTTGACTAACATCCAAAGGCCCATAGTTTGAACCATCTTTTATCGATAAAAGCGGCTGATAAGCCACTTTTAGAGACACTTTTATCGATAAAAGAGGATTCAGAATACGGCCAAAGTGTTTAGAAATTCTGATTGAATTGCTTGTGGAAAATGAATACCTGAACGTTCCAGTCGCCCTCGTCCTCGTGCAGTTCTATCATCGTCATGATGTTATAGTACGGCAGTTGATTTGACCAGATATGCATTGTGTCCAGCAGGGTGACGATAGTGCTGTCGTGGCCGATGTACATGAACATTTTTCTCCGCTTAGGCTGTTGAATGCCTGCCTTTCTCGCCCGCATCTCGTCGATGAATTTCTTCAGCATGGGGCCACCCTTCAGCCTGCGGCATTCGTCGTTGTATGTGTTGAGCTGCAGCTCGTACAGGGCCAAGGGTGTCAGCTTCTCGGGATAGTAGTCCTTTGTCCACTCCGGCAAGACCAAGCCCATTTCGTCCTGTCACAATTCGGACAGTTAAAAGTTTTCATCGAAGAGCTGGGTACACATATGCAGCGTTGGTCACAGACTGATACGATGGCTGCGTTTAGTAAAGGAAGGTGCTTTACAACTGTTGGAAAATTCGTGAAACCGATCGGCGTATCCTCTTGATCTTGAATGAATTTAAGAATATACGCCAAACAGATTCAAGAATTTTGCAACAGTTGCAAAGCAGCTTTTTCTGCTGAACGCAGCCAGTAATCGCTTAAAAAAACATTAGATAGACTACTTCAGCCGACAACGTGGCGTAAAGCGAGCTGACATCGTCGACAGTCGTGATTGGCATGCCTGTCAAGTGCGTGAGGTTCGCGAACAATTGCTTGTTGTCTTCGTGCAACTTCCGGACTTCCGGCAAGTCGTTCGCCGATGAGCGCAGTTGGGTGTACCTCGGACACGTGTTCCACACTAACATGAGCTGGAAAGATTTATGCACTGTATAACAATAATTTACAAAGAATAGAGGCTCTCGCGGTCCATTGTTTTGGATTATGATATCACAATTACATAATTTTCAGGATAAATTTTAAGAAAAAAATTCTCTTCGCGTAGAAACGACCGTCACATGCGGTGTGCATTGAAATACTTCAAGAGGCATAAATAAGTTAAAAAGTATTGAGAAGGATCGATTTACAGAGGCGCTTTACCGTATCATCTTCACGTTCCTGATAGAACAGTGTGACTGGCTGCCAAGGTAAATTAGGTATGAACGACTGCTCCTCGTTGGGTCTCCACAAAGCGGCGGCCTCCACCATGCCCGACATCTTCGTACGGTCTACAGCGGTGGTCTGCAGATAGAATATGTCGGGCTCATACGTTGAGCCTAGGAAGTTGTCGTAACGCTTCCGCAGAAATAATCCTTGATTGTACTGGTTTCTCCTTCCTTTCTAGTTTCATCAGTTAGAGTTAAGTTCAATCCGTAAGACAAGTTCGTTGAAAAGAAGCAGAATATTTACATTTGTCAGCTGACCCCAGCCGTAAGGCTCCATAGTATCGTTGACGTGAGGATCACTTGGATAAGTGTCCACAGGTGCTCTCTCCCCATGTCTTATTACCTAAAAACAGGAAGATCTCACGTATCACGCGATATTAATTTCGTTCTTTAAAGCAAATCAATGGTAATGATCGTTTTAGTTGTTCCCGCACAAAGGATACCCAGCACCTTTTGATTTCGGAGAATTACGTTACTTTGATTAAGTTGTACGCAGCGATGGCTACTTTAATGATTACATTTAATAAAATTCAGTAAACTGAGAAATATATCCAGTAGATAGCAGATTTGGCTTCGTCGAGTGATTAAAAAAAATCTGGGTTATTTTCTCTGAATAAAACTGAAGCAAAGCGAAGAGAGGATACATACAGAGAATTGTTGTCCCTTGATAACGTTAATCCTAGCACAAATACAAGTTATCTGCTCATCCGACTTTTATGAGAGAGAAGTTGTCGATTTTGAAGAGAATGACTATGAGGCGGCATGAATTGATGAGACGTGATAGGATGCTTGAATCTTGTTTAAATAGTTTTTCTTTGCCTGCTAAAAATACACAAATTTCATTTAATATCGACCAAAAGAAGAAAGCTAAGGAAAACTTTATAAAAATTGAATTAAAAAGAAGAACGAAAACTTATTTATTGTAAACTATTAGAATGACTCGACGTAATTTTTTATGCATGAGAATATTGCTTGTATCAATATAAAATGATTGAAATAAAATGCAATTAATTACGAATAATGATGATTTTATTAAATGATAAATTAAACGAAAATCGCGAGAACGGGCTCAAATGCTTAAAAACTAACTGAAAATATATATTCTATGAACAAAATTAAATTTATTTTGGCATTCAATATACCGTTTTCACCTATAATTTTTGTTGATCATTAACGTTTAAGAATTATCATACTGGTGTATATGAAATTAAAACTTTATTAAATTAGTTTTCGAAAATTTAAAGTTTTAAAACTTCGAAAGGCGTAAAAGTTAATAAAACTTTTATTATATCTAATGTGTCTATACCACTGTAACTAATCGCAAAGTATTCTTCTTAGTTTTGCGATACGCCGTGTCCTCCTCCGTAGTTGGAATGTTGGAAAATAAAGGTAATCCTAAAAAAGTAACAAGTTTTATTAGAGGAGAGTCCTCCATTATGAGATAGGATTCTAATACGAGATAGCAGGTTTTCGACATCCAAATTTAATCACAAATCTTTTTTCGCAACGATTACACAATCTAACAATGAACTTTCCACTAAACAAATTTTACTCCAAGGGCAATAAATTTAGGATAGAAACCCCGCTATTTCATATTAAGAGTCTAGATAATAGGGGAATTTTTTCTACACATACACGTTGCTAAAAGAAATTATAAAATTTGTAATAAATTTGTATAAATTATACGAAGAATTTTATGAAAATTTTTTTTCGAGAAAAACCTTAGGTTTGGAAGTACGTATGGAGATTAATTTTTAATTCGGATTGTGATGCCTCAGATACATATCTGTCAAAAAGTATGAAAATCGAATTTTCCTCACGTACGTGTTTTTTATTTTTATTTTTATATCTTTATAACAAATTAAAAGTCAGAGCTATCCACACACGGACATGGCTCTTCTTTGTGTGAATATCCTTTCCATCTTTTGTCCGACAAGGCCGCGCCGAAAATCGTCGACAGCTTTGTTATAAGCAATTATTACAGGTATCTGATAAAAGAGACGGAAATTCACTTCCTGAGATTACATCTGAAAGGTCGCAGATGAGAAAAAAAGACGCATTTACACTTGTCTCTTCACGTACTTAATAGTAGACTCATTGGCAAAATTTTGTAAGAGCTTCTTTTTTAACGAAAGTTCTGCACAGCGTGAGGCGAAGGAAGAAAGGAAGAGACAGAAAGAATTGATTTACCTAACGTCAGCGTGAGTAGTGCGAAAAGAGGAAGAGCTGTCGCCGAGGGGATCATGCCGAATTAATCGCGGACCAGAAGGGCTGATTGGTCCACAAATAAACCTGTAAGAGAGACCGTGAAGCACATGCGGACGTGTACGATCGTGTACTGAGGGGGATCCGTGACACGTGCGCGTACATAAATTCAGGCATCCCCTCTCTGCGGAAAAGTAATTTGCTTTTTGTACGAAACCGTTCGACAATTATACATATGCATTATTATCTATTATTTGCCTGACTCATTGCTTCACTTATTTGTCTTGACAAAAGCTAACGGTAATGTAACGGCCTTGTGGAATTTTTGCGTAAACTGAAAAATCAAAAGGCGATGTCTTTGGAATATTTGTTCAGAATAATGTTTTAATATTAATCGAGTTTATGTATTGCACATTGTTTACTGTGTAATACACTTATCTTATGCAAAAGGCAGCGAAACCAGTGATCCATATTCCATACCACATATATGTATAACACGCTATATTCGATAGATTATTTTATTAACTATCAATATATGTATTATATCGCCAGTGAATAATAAACCAGGATGGAGAATTGATTTGACCTAACTGGCCACTTTATTAAAATTAGGAACACGACGTTTCGGCCATGGATTTTGGCCCTTAAAGGGCGTCGTGTTCCTAATTTTAATAAAGTGGCCAGTTAGGTCAAATCAATTCTCCATCCTGGTATTTTATTAACATTTGAAAAAGATTTATAGTAGTGCCAGTCGAATGTTCTACGAACATAAGATAAATATAAAAGAATAACCTATGGAATATTCCAAAGATATTAAGAATATTCTTAAAATGTTAATAGGAGTGTCTTGTGCTATCTGGGTATCGTGTGTCGGTCTCCCGGAAAGACACTCATGTACAGTGCGAATCACGGATCGTCGGGCCTTAATAAATTCTGGCAATTGTTTAATTAATGGTGACGAGTTTTATTTTACTGCCAGCAAATCCCAGAGAAACCCCCTACATTTTAGAGCTTGTGATTTATTGACAATTAATTTTGTCGAACGTCTTATTATTAAATAGCCGAATCAATGTTGAAGTCGCGAATATTCAGTTTTCTTTTCTTTCTCTTCTATTATGAATACTGTACGCAGCTAGTTGTTTTTATAATTTCTTGTTGTTGTCATGCTACGTAAGCAAAACGTTATATAATAATATACGCCCGCGAGTGTGTATGCGCGCAAGTCATTCCAGAGCATTTCCGGAAGTAAGAATTATTACGAAGTTGTATTATGATGTTCTTGAAAATATTCTTAATTTCTTAGATCTGAACTCGGAAGAGGATATTTAACAATTTGTATATCTGTTATTATATGTTGAAACTTATTCTCTGTTAAAAATTCGCACCATAGATCTACCCGTGTAAAATTCTTTCAAATAAATTAGTTAAATATTACCAAATTTTTAATATAAATATATTATATAATAATATTTGTAATTTCTCTCTCTCTCTCTCTCTCTCTCTCTCTCTCTCTCTATTTTCTTTCTAATCAACGCGAAATAAAATAAGAGTGTAATCACGTGCGTAATGCGACGTGAGCAAGATTTTTAAATAAACTCTTGCAACGTAAAGAAAATATTATCTTCCTGGAATTTTACTTTCTCAGGTTTATCGTGGGGCAACATGCTGGAAAAAAATCACGCTGATACGAGATCGTAAGACTATTAGTATCTCACGGAGATAACTAACTAATATGTATACAGTTAATTTGCGATAAATTTAACAGATTACGACGCAATTTTTAATTTAAATCTTTGACTATGTAACACATAATATGTATATTAAATATATATTTCTTATTATATTATTACAAGTATTACATAATTTATATATTTAAGAATTTATAAATTATATAATATATATAATATACTTATTCTTAAATATATAATGTAAATATATAATATACTTAAACTTTTTTCTAATATTCTCAAGAAAATTATGTCGAGGCTCTGTATCGTATTTATTATGATCTATGTATTGTAATAAAGATAAGAACTATTTCGTAATTATATTCTCTAACTTGTGCAATCTTTGCATAGCATATATGTTTTGCACAATATGCACAAAGTCTTCAATTACTGTGAAAAAGAATTCACGGTTTGCGCAACATAATAACAACAAAATGTGGAAATAATTGACAAACACAAGAAGAACACAAAGGATTGAAAAAGAATTTGCAATTGTTTAACGATTTTGCTGAAGACTCGTCGACTTGTTAACTCGACGAAACGACTTTACAATGCAGAGGTTGCGTCGAATGTGAGACAATGTATTCGAATAATAGATTCGCAACCGTGAAAAATAAGATGCTTTTTCGCCAAGAATGGGAATTTTTATCTAACGTATACCTCGTGTCTTTGTGTTTTACCTTGGCAATGTCCGGAAAAACATAGAAATTTTCTTTACACGAGGCGATAATTTATGCAATTTTGATCGCAGTTTCGATAACGCGCAACTGTTAGGTCGAAAAAATTCCACTAGTATACAAGATAACGTGTTTCTTTCCTTTTTGTTACAACGATTCTCCCGCGAAGAGTTATTGTTTTTTCTGTCATTCATTGATTTTTCCTGCGCGCTTGCCATAATTAGATAGATAATTAAGCGTTAAAATGCAAGTTGAATTAATTAAAGTCAGCAATCCTTGAATTGTTAACCGAGTTGTCGCAACGATTTTCCATGCATTGATTCAATTTATAAAAATGCATGCTTCAATCTGCACTTTAATGAGTTTCAAGAACTAAACACTAGTTGCATATGATCGAGCATGATAATTACGATAATTAGGAAATACTTTATGTAATGATTCATCAATAATCGTCTCCAGCACGTGCAGGCGAGCAGGCAAGATGGAACGTGATAAAATGAGACGACTTCTAGACGTTTCACGAGATACTGGCGGATGACGAGTGACATGATACTCGTATCTATCCAATTCGACGAATAAACCCAGTTAGCAAAATGTTAACAGATTGGCAGCAGATTTATCAGAAAACCCACGCAAAACCATAGCCATCTGTGCCAGCAGAGTTTGCAAAATCTACGCAGTCAACAGATTGTCGGCAGAAACCGAGCAGGTTCAGTCACATGAGCAGATTTTGTTGTACTTCTGCTGACATGCTGGCAACATGTCGAATATATCAGTTCCCGTATGCAATCTGCAGTCTTTCCGCCTTCAAAATTTGTAGTGGGCATTTGACAAAATCTTGCCCCGACAGATTTGGCTATCTGGGAATTTATAATATTGTAAATTCTACAATTATATCACATAGTATTTAAATATTACAAAGATTCGATCAAGTTGTAAGACTAGATTCTGACGCGATCCTGAAAATTGCTCTTCGGTTGAAAGAGTAAATTCATTTTCAATAATAATAAATTCGACCATTTTGTGTGACCCACACAAGCAATAATGGGAACGCTATTTACGGTCAGGGCTGAATCTTGAGGCCCAATTATATTTTCTGCGCATAGAGGAAAGTCCCCTATTATGAAATAGAATCCTAATATGGGATAGCGGGGTTTCTGTTAAATTAATAGGCATCATCAGTTGATTCCATCACGAATCTATTGCCCTTGGAGCGAAATCTGTTTAGTGGAAAATTCATTGTTGGATTGTGTAATCGCTGCGAAAAAAGATTCGCGATTGAATTTGAGTGCAGAAAACTTGCTATCTCGTATTACAAACCCATCTCATAATAGATAACTTTCCTCTACGTCTTTTTCCATTAAAGCAAACTCGCGCCGATAACTTTTCGATCTAAAATACAGTATTAAACTGATAAAACAGTATAGTTATTTAAATATCATTCAATATCACGGCCCTGACTGTGAATGGCGTCTCTATTATTTGTTGTGTGAATTTTACTGCTGTCATTCAGCTTATCTTAATCCTTCTGTTCATATCGCGCGAGCGGAGACCCACGTCGGCCGCGGGGGCGCTTCCGGGTCTGCCGTGAACAGATCATCGGCTGTTCTTCCGACCGAATATCGCCAGGGCGACCGAGATGCTCGCTTGTCAGCGCGGCGTCAATCCGCCCGTGCGAATTTCCGCTTCGAGTGAAGCTTACGCGAGCGAATAGCCACGGCGCTGAAACGCGGTCTAACCGTCGCTCGCGGGGAACCCGAAATCGCATCAATCGTGGATCACGCAAGCGAGGCCGGCCAGGCGGCGGTCACCAAGCACCGGAAGTCCCGGCGCAAGAAGTCGAAGAACACGACCGCCGCCGCAGCCACCGCCGCCGCCGCCGCCGGCGACTCCAAAGTGCGTTCCCTCGTTTTCACCCAATTGTTCCCCCTCTTGCGTTTCTTGCCATTTACAATTTCATTCGCGATTCATTGTAATATCGAGTCTTTTCTTACGGTTTTAACGATCTGACCTCTTGAAGAAGACCTAAGATTTCTCGATTGCCGAATGAAATTGTTGAATCGGAGGAGAGAGAAGAGCTCGCGGGATCATCTATCAGCCGATCAGAAATTTGACTCGAGATTTTACAATTGCGAACAAAATTCCAAGAGTCTCCAGATATTTAATCTCAACGTCGAGATCCTCCCGAGGCTCTTCACTCTCGAAAGCGAGCGTGGTGCAATTTGCCATCGAGATAAATAAATTAAATAATAAGCGCCGACTTGTATTGTCCCTTGAGGCGAAGGAAATGGCCAACACCTGCACCGAGTTCCGGAAGGAGGCACATAAGTCCTTCGTCCTGCCGGCGATGCAGACAGCGCCGTCGTATTCAGTAACAACGATACCAAACCAACCGAACTCAACGACGCCCATGCGACCCCGGTCCCTTTACACCGCGCACAACTATCATCCTCAGCCCGACGATCTCAGTTTTCAAGTACAGCCAATCCTTCAACTCCGTCCTTCGGCTCTAATCTGTCTCTTATCTCGTACCGTAAGCGTAGGACGTGTTTGGTTTTACAACGAGACTTCCCGCCGGTAGTAATCCCCGAACGTATCAAAAGAAAAACCAGGCGATTTCAGAAATTTAGGCCGCACACCTTGGAAAGATAATTGGGGGGATTAGTCGAGGTGAAGCCTAATCTGCAACGCGCTCTTTGCATCGAGGAACATTCTATCTTGTGCACGTTGATAAATTGTACATTATACATTGTACGATCGTACGTTGTCGGCAAAGTTTTGAAGCGTTTTGACTTGCTTATATAAAACGGAATGTTTCTAAAGCACATTGTGTAGATAAGGCTTCAAGCTACCGGCACGCAGGAAGCGCAGAGACACATATCCTTGCACAAAAATAGATGTATTTTGCAAAAATCTGTTTCATTCTACGACCACTCATCGCATATACGAGATTACTTAGACACGTAGCAATAAGAATTGCGCTATTTTACAACAGTTGCACGCTAAGATAAGATAAGGCGGTAGTAAAAAAAGGAAACCGAGTGAGAGAGAGGAAGTGAGTAAGAGAGAGAGAGAAAAGACTCTGTTTGCAAAACTTCGGGGATATAGAAGGCACGTTTGCCGATGTAAAAATCTTAAAATATAATGTATAGAAATTTGTTATCGTGACCTCTCGTGTCCTCGATGATTGAGCTTCTTCCGGGCGACCTTGTAGCGATACAGCGAGCTGTCCAAGTACTTCGAGCCCCCGGCCGAGCAGTGGAGCGGTCTGGGCGGGGCGACCGCGTACTCGGGATCGGCGGCGATCTGGCGGCAGGCCAGGAAGTCGCTCGGGCCTTATTACGCGGCCGAAGAGGCCTCCATCTATGCGGAGAACTGGCGCGAGCACGACGCTGACGTCGGCGTCGGCGGCGCCGTCGCCACCCCCCATGGTACCATATCGCTGAGGCTGCACAACAGGATACGCGTGGATATGACCATCGACCGCGCCGTCAGGGTCATCAACTTCAAGGTGGCCCTGCAAAACGTTTTTATAATTAAATTATTGCCGGCAATCATAATAGAACAACAAATTTTAACTGGGGGGAAACTATTGTCGATAAGAGATTTTCCTCTTAGCGATACAGAGTCGCGTATGCAGTTTTGAGATTCATGAAACGAGGGTTCTAATCGAATCCAAGAAAAATCCAGATTATCTAATCGAATCCAGTCTCGTGTCCTTGTAGAACAACATTGTCCTGTCGCTGAGCGGTTCCGGAGCGGCTGCCGCCTTGCTGCATCCCAACGGCAGGATATACCAGTACGGTTCCCGAGTGGAGATTGTCGCCCACGACACGCACGGCAATAACAAGTTGGTCCAAGTTCTATCGCCGATTGAGCGCTCGCTAATTAATCCTCGATTCATTAATCCTCGGTTCCGTGTCAGATACGCGAAGATGTGGTACAAGGGGGTCAGTTTCACGTCGGAGCAATGCGCGCTTGTCTACCTCGTGGACACGGCTGGGACCAGGACCACGACGGATTCCTTCTCGGATATGAGTCAGGTAGAACGAGAGATAAAACTGAGATTTGCTTTACGCTCTTGGATTAATCGACTCGAAATCTCGCTCCACTTCCGACTCAAAGCGCGCTTAATTACTCTGATTTCTGGATCTTTAGATTGAAATCCGTTTTCTCTCAAATTATTCATTTCTCTGATGTTTCAACTAATGTCAGCTTCTTACATTCTCGGTTTTGCAAACCTTGTACAATGAACGTTTCTCAAAATTTTTGAATCGACAATCTTACGTTATTTCTTACAATTGAAAATTAATCGTTCTGATTGAAAATTATTTATCATGTGAAATCTCTCTTAAAACTGCTACTGAAATGCTCTGCTTCTTATATGAATATTTCTACAGAAAATTAGTTTCAATTTTAAAAAAAATTATACATAAAGCATATTGTACAGAGAACTGAAACTTTTCTCTTTTAAATATCGCCTTAAATTATTTTCCCCAATAACTATTTAGAAAAAGAGCAAGACCACGAAAAGATTGTGAAAGAAACATGGTTGATGAAGAATGTAATTAACCTTTCGCAATTCTGTAACTTGTAGGACTTTTCGTTGAGTGTCTTTTATTCGGGCTCTCGTCACGGACCGGCGTGTCTGCAGGAAGTCACGGCGCATCTCAGTACAGCTCAATACTGGCAAACCGACGAGGGTGTTGAAAATTGGATTATTAACAACGTCAGAGTATCCCAGACTCCCGATGGCCTTGTCAGGTATTAAAATATAACTCACGAATCTAAATAAAAAATTTAAGGATAAAAATCGAGAAGGGGTCTGCTAACCTGATATATTATTATTAATAAAATATTATTGTTTTTCTATATTAAACAGATATGCGTCAAAGAGCAATTTTTTGTTACATCTTAATATTTTCGTAAATTTTCTTAATGCATTCTTAATTCCTCTTATTCCATTTAGGATTGCACGAAATAGCAATAAGTATCAACTACGCACATCGCCCAGCAATGGTACAGCCTCGTTGACGACGCCTTTCCTGCACTGTACCGCGTCCTTGGGACAAACGTCCCATCTGTTTGTACGTCGTGGCGAGCGTCGCATGCACTACGACGGTACCAGCTTCATCGTGAGAAATGCGGGTCACAGTGCTGGCTTCGACGATAATAACCAGTTGAAGGTCTACTAGTTCAAGAGCTCTGTGATATATATCTCCTCGCTTAGGGTTTATCTATGAATTAGCATCGACGAATGTGGCCAGCTTTCATTACTATATGGATTCGAGCACGTTCTGGTGCTTCAAGCAAAAAAGAAAGACAAGATCATCTTTCGTCGAGGTCTTAAGCCAGAGTGAATTAGACCATTATTGAAGATTTTAATTATGCCCGCGCTTCCATGTTCAGAGATTTACTCTCAAATCTTATTTTCCTAGAGTTTAGTAATTTAATTGAATTGTCTATCCGATATGCTGGTTCGACCCAGCAAAATGTTCAATAAAGGATTCAATCAAGCATTTTATTATGCAAAATTAACATTTAATTATTATCGTGATGTATGCCTTATACAATAAAAAACGTCTCGAGAATATACAAAACATACATGCGTTTATTTTCTAGTACACAAATTAACCTTCTAGTTCTATGATAACGCTTTGATTATCTTCTTTGGTGTCACATCTTGGTAAGAAAAATTTTATAAAGTTATCCCGAAGTTTTATTAAGCCTATAAGATCACAGAAAAATAGAAATTCAAATAGCACTTCACTCTTTGTGATTCCACAGTGCAAATTTCACTCAATTGAACCGTGGACTCAGTAAAGTCTATAATTTTAAAATCTCATATCTTTCTCTCACGCGCACTTCGAGTCAATACCTGATCAACACTTGAATCAATTCTTGCATTATAATTTTTCACTATAACTTTTTACAAAGCAACGCCGAGTTATTCTTCATATCGCTTCAGACTCCCCTAGTCTGATTGTTCCAATTCATCTTCCGACTGAAGTCCTTTTTCAAATCCTCGGCCTATCTTGGACAGGACTTGATTCTTACGAAATCGCATGCTACAGAAAAATTGCCATTATAACCGATACTTTAACTTTTAACAGACATTTACCTAACACCTTCGAATTTAATATGAATACAAAATCCATGTGCCATCTTTATGTGTACAATATTTGCATCTCTTTGAAATAAAATGACAAAAAAAAGAATTTCTTTATATCTCTTTCAGATCGTTAAGTATAGAGAGAAATTTTTTCAGTAATTTGTGAACGAATTATTGAAAATCAGCTGTAAATTATCTATAGAGATAAAAATATAATAGAGTAATATTTTTATTCAATAAAAGCCACATTTCATCATAAGAGATCATTCAGTTTATTCTAAAAATCCTATTTCTTTTTTTAGAACTTTGTGTAATTTGTATAAAAAAAATTGAAAGCTTCCATTTTCCTTTTATCTTTATTCTATACTCTTGATCCATCTTTTCATATAAAATTATTATTAACTTTGTGACTTTGTATTATTATATTATATTTTCTGAAAGTGAAAAAAGTTACATACCGCTTTTGATCTTTGTCGCTTGATCCTGATATCGATGATGCCGCTGACCTACCATAGCCGGTGTTCACTTCAGATTTAACAAATATTCTACTTTCCGACTGTATCTTGCGAATGCTATTAGCAATACTGTCTGCTAAGCTCGAGTCGTACAGTTGTAGGCCACTATCTCCCTGAGCATCGTACAAAGCACGCTTCTTTTCTTCGTAGGCCTCGCTGTACTGGCTGATAATCGATAGCAGTTTCTCTGGCGATGCTAGTTCTTTGATTTCTGGCATCAAATTAACGTCCAGTTTAGGCTGTTCTTGCTTCTGATAAAAGTGCCTCTCGATACCATACTGTAAACACAAAATGCTCTCGAATTTATCCCTTATATTAGAGAATACACATCTTTTAGCAAATATAGAAGATAGAACGGCATTTTGTTGCAAAAATACATTTAAAAAATATTTAAAATAATTTTAAACAAAACATAAGAAATCGTTCACAGTATTAATTTTTTTTTCATAAAGAAGTTACGATATCAAAGTTGCGCAAATTAAAATAAAATTTATATATAAAGTCCGCTGTTATCAGATAGATTCCTAATATAAAATAGCGGAGTTTCTGCTGAATTAATAGGCATTATCTGTTGGTTCCACCATGAATTTATTACTCTTGGAGTGAAAACTGTTTGAGTGGAAACTTGATTGTTAGGATCGTGAAATCGTTGCGATTCGTGAAAGAAACGATTTGTGATTGAATTTGGACGTTGAAAATTTGCTATCTCATATTAGAATTCTATCTCATAATAGAGGACTTTCCCCTACTGTATAATAATTCATTCATTATACAATATTTTACAACACACATTAAAACTATTACATATAATAAAATATGATTCTGTAACATGATTGTGAGATCAAATGTCTTAAGAAAAACGTGATATTCCAGGATATATTTTCTCGTAAAAAATTCTCGAGGATGTAAATAATCAGATGCGTTCCAGTGAAGCAAAAGGCAGGACTAAAGGAAACAATAGCATAAAACAAAAACCGGACAGAGGTGCAATACCTGTCTGTCGCTAATGCTGTGAATGAATGCACGATCAACAATCAGCTTGCACAAGATGTAGTTTGCGTCGAGAAACTCCTCTTTTTTCACTTGATTGTGCAGCTCCAACAGGCAACTCCAATCCGTCATGGTCATTCTAATCTTCAGATTTTTCACCGGTATCTTATAATACACTCCGTACGTAAGGTACAGGGCTCCAATACGTTCCTTTAAACTCGACGCATTCACCAAGAACTGTTTCGTTATGCAAAGAGCCTCCTCGCAGAATACTGTTAACGTGCTCTCGGAAGAGTGAAAACTGCAAGTTTTAAATCTTTATTAAGTAATTCTCCGACGATTTAAGTCTTGAGGGGAAAAAAGCGTTTGTAAGAAATTTATCAACATTAAGGGGCGACAGGCCTTTCTTTAGTAAAACAAAGTGCAAAGTACCCACGCGAAGACCAAGCCAAACTGCATCTCTTTCCAGATCTCGCAGAAGTACTGGAAGTGAGTATTGTAGGTCAGCTCAAAGCGCGTTATCAGTGTCTGGCAATCGGTGCGGAAGGCCTCCATCAGGCGCTTCTCTGTTAACGGGAGACGAGCATTGAACAGTGTAATATAATCATCCCTTATAAATTTTGCAATTCATACAAAGTAATTCCTATACACTGCTTCTAATCGGTTGTCATATTCATATGCAGAGGAAAGCCTCCTATCATGAGATAGGATCCTCAAGTGGGATAGCGGCGTTTCTATTAAATTAATAGGCATCACCTGGTTCCATGATGGATCCTGTTGGTTCCATGATGAATTTATTGCCTTTGGAGCGAAATCCGTTTAGTGGAAGAAAACAGACTTGTGATTGAATTTGGGTGTTGAAAACCTGCTATCTCATATTAGAAGTCTATCTCATAAAAGAGGACTTTCCTCCATATACAGCCTCGGCCAAAAATATTTGCCACCTATGCGAAACCTCAATAACTTTAAATTCTTTTACATTCAGGTTAAATAAACATTTACTTTGTACATTTTCACATCTATTTGATATTCTTAAACTCATCGGATAAAATGGCTGTTTGCATGTATAAAGGCTGGTCTACAATACATGAA